TGTCAAATCTAAAGCGCATCACAACAATGCTAGTTGGGGAAGTCAACGAGTTTAGCGAAATCACGCAAGAGCACAAAAAATGTGAAACGATCTAAAACAACTGCCAAAAATATTTCCAAAATGGTTAGCCTGGCTCCTGACTGACCTTTCCAACAATTATTAAGAAAAACAAATAAATAAATAAATAAGGAGCAAAAAAACTGGATATGATACAGAAGTAAAGAAACATACAAATGTTTCAGATTTACAGCCTACCTTTTTTTGTCCCCACCGAACTAGTTCAAGCCTAAACGATGGATGAGGAGTTTTTTAACTTATAACAAATAGTAAGGATCATAATTAATAAGCAAAACTGCGGTACCAGATTAGCTCATAAATGCCACTGTCAAAGAATCAAATTTATAAAACTGGTTCCCCATATAAGGCACTAAAGTAAAAAACGATCCTTTGTAATTTAAGTCCTAACAAAAACAAACGCAAAGTAAAAAATCAACCGGAATAAAAAGATAACCGTAGATAAGAAAAGCAACGACGACATAATTAAAATTATCTAAAGTAAAATGCATTTCCTCGTTCGTTTCGGCTTGGGTGGCGGACAAAGGACAGCACGAATAGCTTCGTCAAAAACCTGCTTCAAACCCTTCTGTGACAGAGCTGAACATTCCAAATACTTCACAGCACCTGCAAACAGGCTGTTATGAAAATTCAAGCGAGAGAATGGTACAAGTAATACGCGCATAAAACCACGGCATATAAAAGGCAACGGGGTAATGTGGTTGAGCAACATTATCTTAGTTAAAGAGTAAGAGGACGATCAAATTGAGAATAAAAAGAATACTCTATCCTTGCTACAACTGTTCCAACTTTTATTGTAAAATAATGCCTAATCTTTAAAACTTACTGATCTCTTTCGACATTGAAACACCTTGTGGATAACTAATTGGAGCTAGCCTTCTTTCTCTCAATTTTTCTACGGTCTCATTATCCTCCCGCAAATCAAGCTTTGTACCAACAAGAATAATAGGGGCGTTTGGACAATGATGTGAGACTTCTGGATACCATTTTGCTCTAACATTTTCAAACGACGCTGGGTTCACAAGAGAAAAGCATATAAGAAAGACATCCTGAAAAGTAAAAAATTCATCCATAAAAAAAAGATTAAAACAAAGGAGTTAAAAGAAAAATAAACTGATTTATACAGGAATTGGTAAATATCATCGCCCACTGTCTGCCACCCAACTTTCCTAAGAAGTGAGTGGAAACAGCGAGTACCAGTTCGTCACAAACCGTCTACAAAAAATTTTTGTCTCAGTTTCCCCTCAACTTTAAGTCATCTCCGAATTTTTTTCAAAGTAAAAGCTGGTTGGGAAAAATATTCTTCACATGTAAATATCCTACCAACGCAAACAAAAAAAAGTAATGATTTTCCGAACAGTAAGAATTTGTTACAGATCCGTATACTCACTCAACATAAATTAATTGAGTTTGCTTTTCTCCCTAGTCTCCTAGCCTTCTCTCCGTTCATTATATAGAACAGAATTCATCTAAATTTTTTCCACTTGAAACCTACAAGGTCAAAAAAAAAAGAAATCCATGCCCTGGGAAGAAGAACGTCAGTAAGCTTTTCCAGGAAAAAAAAGGCTTTAAAATAAAAGAAAAAGACGTGATTCATCGAAAAACCTCCTTCATTTACTACTGCGCTTATACTACGAACCAATACTAAAGGTAAAATATGACAATGTGAAGTGAAATGAGAAACTAATATCTTTACACCTTGACCGCACGGTACTTCATTTGAAAGTTTTCTTCACTGCGAAAAAAAAGAAAAAAAAACCAGAAACACTAGCACTAAAACAGAAACACTGGCATTTAGAAGCAAGAGTTATGAAAACAACTGAGCATCACACTCTCTGCAACCTCGTTCCTCGCCCTGTTGTAGCATCCCTAATTTTAAAAATCTTAATAAAAATTTTTAACTTTGTTTAAGCTCTGCACCTCTTGGGAAAAAACTCTAGGTAATGTTAATTTTTAAAAAACTTTTCAAAAAGGTTTTCCTGTATGACTTAGGTAGCTACTCAAATAAGAGTGTATGAAAAAATAATGCCAAAAGCAGTACAAGAATTTTAAGTCGTTTACGGTTGAAGAAGATAGAAGTTTCCATAAAAAGATGCGCTTAACGAAAAAAATGCTTAAAATCTTGTTAAGGGAAGTGTCTAATCCTAATAAAAACAAATTTATTTTAAATAAACCTGCAACCCCTCAGGTCCACAATCAAGTATTACAGAGCGAATAAAACTGAACAAGAAAATCAAAAAATCCTTCCTAACTACATAAAACCTGGAATAACAACAGATTTTAAGAACGAATAGAACAGTTTTCCCTACCTTGCTTTAAGTTTGCCGACAAAAAGGAATGTTTCTCAGTTGCTAGGAAAACACTAGGACTGAAAACTAAAAGATGCTTTGACGTCAGTGCAAAAAAAACTTTTTTAACTGCAGGAGATACGTTTCTATGAAGAATTTGCTTACGGTTTGTGGGTAACTGAGTGGACGCAGCCTATCGTAGTCTTCTTGGCCAGCAGTATCCCATAAACCAAGATTGATTGGTTTCCCGTCAACCATAACATTTGCTGAGTAATTGTCAAAAACGGTCGGTATATATTCCCCAGGAAAAGCGTTTGTTGTGTAACTTATCAACAAGCAAGTCTTACCAACGGCGCTACAATAAGTGGACAGTTTAGTTGATAAGTTTCGTAACTCTATTCATTCAGTAAGAAAAGTATGAAAAGAAAGTTCTCCAAAAGAACAAACAGACATTTAATCACCATTAAATGCCAACAAAAATCGTGGATGAAAAGATGAACAAACAAAAGTACGACTACGGAAACTTACCCGTCCCCGACGACGACGCATTTAATAGCCTGCATATCGCCGAGATGGTAATTTCACAGCGATAAATGCCTTCAATTAAAGTTGGTCACTTTGATTGTGATAAAATAAAGCTGATGGACATAAACCGGAACTCGGCAGATTTCCAACAATGCG